TTGATCACTTTCGAGCTGAGCGACGCGGGGGTCATTGTACGAGGTGGGCGTCCGTAAAGGTCCATCAATAGAACCGAATGCCGCCCACAGTCTTGAACGTGACTTGGGCGGCCGCCGATGGATCGTCCACCGAATGTACAAACTAGTTCATCACGCCGTGCGTCGCGTCGGCAGACATGTACGTGAGCTGACGAGCTGACCGGTGAGATCGGAGCAATCGAACTCTCGGCATTGTCGAATTGCACGCAAAGCGGTACTTCCCTCGGGAGCGACGGTGTCGACGAGGAAGACGAGTCAACAAATAGTGTTGAGAGCGCGCCGCACCACTCGCAGTCAGGCTGGAAATGAAGATCACGTGAGGTGTCATCTCCCCCGTGTCACCGTGCCTTCCCCACGTGTCCAAGTGACCCGTGCCACTCATGGATATTGACGATGAATTTTCAATGGTTTGCTTGTCCAATCATAGTTTTCCTATGTGTTTTCTCGGAAAATCCTAATGGTGAATGTTTTAACGAATCAAAACATGCATTCATGTCGAGGCTGGGACAAGGGGAGCCAACGATCGCATGCCGAGATGCCCCCCAACGACTGAATCACTGCCTCTTCAAACCCACTGTCGCATTTTGTCCCCAACCATGGACAGCTCGGATGGTGACGCCGAGCCCCTGGTTGCCTCTGGTCTGCCTAACCTCTCGAATAGCGAAAAGCAGATGAAGTATGGTCCACTTCTCATTCTGACCGTAGCCCCCCTCGTGGCGGGGATGATCGCCGCTTATGCTGTGTACACGTATGGGAACAAGCCCGAGTACGATCACCGCATACGAAGTGCACAACGGAATGCCGAGTTCGGGTGGACTTGCCTCGCAGTTGTGATGATTGGCCGTCTCATTGCATTTGCCAACTGCTATCCCTTGGCACTCGAGAGCTGTTTCCTCACTAAGGACGACCGCCAGCTGTGGACAAATCCATTCATGCTGGTCGAAATTGGAAGTAACGCCACCAAGAACGTGATTGTGATGGACCTAGATGGACCCGTTGGCATGTATAACCGAGCGAACCGAGCGATCCAAGACATGGTGGAAACGTGCGGAGTGGTGCTAGCGGCCCTGTACCTGGCGTCGACGGTATTTGCGCTCCCTGCCGCTGTCGTAGCTCTGGCGTTCTGCGTGGGGTGGTTTCTGCATGTGGTGTTATATGCGACCAATCACGACAGCCATGGGGTTGGCTATGTATTAGCTACGTTTGCAGCAGCAATGCTGGAAGGCATGGTGGCATTGATGGCATTGATGGCATTGATTGCCCAGACGGAAATGTAATAAATATCATTTTTGTTATATCATGCACCTACTAAACGCGCTTTGGCTGGATTGGGTTTTCATCTGACAGGTGTAGGCCAGTGGCCAATAACGGAACAATGGCCGAAAGTGAGCGGCTGGTTACGAAGGCAATAAGGTGAGTCATTTTCAGCGTTAAGACTCACAGTGGCCAACGTACAGTACTAGTATCGAGGAACCGAAGGGCCTTAATTTGATGTAATCAACACAATATCATCTCAAATTTCGTATGTGGATAATATTATCCATAGCATGTCAATAGATAACTCTGAAACCAAGAAAGATTAAAGAAATACTTGAGCAAAGAAGAGAATGTTAACGTTAGAAAAATTCGAATCTGGAAAAAAAAGTCCACCCATTGAATAGTACTCGAAACGGAAGGATATATAGTCGACGGGTACAAGTGTTGCAAGGAAACCCCTTAACAGCTGACACAAGGTCATTTTGCAACCTGCGCGAAGAACACATCTGAATTTGAACAAGTCGTTGCTTTTGTCAAGACCGAGAGCCCACGTCCCTTCAAAAGAAGGAAAGGCAAGACATTTCGCGCATGATGCCATTCTCCGTCAAGTTGCGGCTACGTACATTGACGTCCAGGTCGGTCAAATGCTCGGTCGCTGCGAAAGCACCGCCAAAGTGGTGTGAGTGAATACATGGTCTAATTATATGTTGTTGCACTACTACCGGTAACGCTATTGTCCATGCAACCTACGTTGCAACCAGTACGTCCACGGTCTCATGCAGCAAAATCATTCGGCAGCGCCGCGAAACTCACACCCGCACTGTTGCAAAGGACGTTTGGGGTCGACTCTATGGTCTTTGTTTCGTCAAATTTGATTTGAATTCGTTAACTGACAACAGTGCTTGGCTCTGTTCTGTTCAGAGGTTTCTCTGTGCTCGTGGTACAGTCGTGTCAAAACAGTGTGATTTGTTAATTCCTCTGTTCCAGATTACTTGTGACATTTCTCATTTCATCGACCCCGAAAAATCAATTCTTCACGAAACTCGATGCAACAATTCACGTTTGACAGATAATGAAAAGTTAGAGGGTGTGTCTATTGACTGAAAGGGAGGGAAAGGAAAAGTTTTTATGCCCAAAAGCAAGATTGTTCAAACAGATCCGCAATAAAAATCCAAAATCATTATATTACTTTTCAATACTACGGGATCTGTGAGCATCGACATCATGAACACTACGCGCGATAGACGTGAGCTCTCCTTTGAGGAGAAGTTGGAGGTAGTCGCCTCCATCAATCCATGTCCATAGACGTGCGCTCTCCTTTGAGAAGTTGGAGGTAGTCGCCCACTACCATCAATCCATGTCCACTGGGAAGGTGGCTCGGGGTGTCATATTGGCATCGGCCCGCCATTTAAACATACACCGAGTGACCCTCGCACGGGTGTGGAACTAATTTCAGCGCAACAACCGAATGCCATCCGCCAAGCCTGGCCGGGTTGGCCGAAATCCAACGCACACTGAAGAAGAGATAACTGATCTCATCCGCGACGCATCTGAGGAGCAGCGAACAACCATGCGTGGCATCGCTCAAGCAACCGGTCTCTCAGTGTCCAACGTCCACCGCAGTTTCCGTAGGGGCACGGCGACGCTCGTCCAGACTGAAACCATTGCTCACCGTTGCGAACATGCTCGAGCGTGTCGAGTTTTGTCGCTCGCACGTCCGTCGCTGCGCTCCGAACGACGCGCTGGCGAATCCCCCGACCCTTCAGCCTCTGCATTCGAATTCGACGGCATGTATGACGTCGTGCACCTGGACGAGAAATGCTTCAATGCGGACAAGGGCAGGCGAAATGCCTACCTTGTCAAGGGCCAGTCGTTTGAGCGCTGGGCTGTCAAGAGCAAGCGCTTTATTCCAAAAGTGAAGTTTTTGGCCGCTGTGGCGCGTCCAAGGTTCGACGGCGAGCACAGTGTTCTATTCGATGATAAAATCTACATGTGGCCATTGGTGGAGTTCAGACCTGCCGTCCGAGGCTCGCGCAACCGCCTGCTGGAACCGTGGTTCCTTCCCTTGTGAATGCCAGTGGTACGTGTATCTGGACTATGTCGTGACGAGGGTCATACCTGCCATTAAGGCGCACTTTCCAAGTGCCAACAAGCGTGTTGTGCTGCAGCAAGACTATGCTTCGCCGCATCGTGTCCTTGCCGACGCTGTCCTTGAAGCCGTGGCACTTGACGGATGGACTTTTGTACTTCGTCGCCAACCCCCGATCAGCCCCGATCTCAACGTTTTGGACCTCGGATTTTTTGCCTCTATCCAAGCGCTATAGTACAAGATGGTGAATCATTCCATTGACCTATGTTGTTCACTCTACTCTGGCGGCATTCAAATCTTTTTCCGCCGAGAAGCTCGAGAAAGTGCTCATCACATTTCAAGACGTTATGCGACTTGTGCTCGAAACCCACGGCAACAATCACTTACGCCTCCCCCATCTCTACAAGGATACCATGCGTCGTGCTGGTGCTCTCTTGCCCAATCTGCCCTGTCCTTCGCACCTTCTTGAATAGTTGTTTGATAGCCTTTTGTGATTATTTTATCCAATTACATGCATGTAATCTGAATATAAGCCAATGGTCAAGAAATGTCACAAGATTTTGGAAAAACAATGATATTCATCTTTACCCAGTAATCGGGAACAGAGGAAGTATAAATTATCACCCGCGATTGCTCTGGTACGTGATATCTGGAACAGAGGAAGCATCAATTATCACCGGCTGTGGAAACGCGCGGAGTTGTGCTAGCGGCCCTGTACCTGAAGTCGACGGTATTTGCGCGACCTGCCGCTGTCGCAGCTCTGGCGTTCTGCGTGGGGTGGTATCTGTGATTTCTACTCGCGCCTCGTGCACGACATTTACGACCGGTGGAACCAAATTTTGATTTTGAACAAACATGCTGCGGGCCAGCATAAACACCTACTTCAATGCTGTTCCTGCCAAAAGGTCTCCGCTGGAATGCGTATTTGGCTTCATTGATGGAACCAAAGTTCAAGCGAATCGAATATCAGCTACTGG